ACTCACTGTTTCCCTTGGCTGTCTGAGCGCTACGCTACGCCCGTGCGCATGTGCACGTGCACGCTGCACGGTTTCGATTCTGTTCCAACATGTCCCATCCGTCTTTTCGTGATAATGTACGTACGGACCCACATACACACTGACCGGCTCCTTTCACAACTAGTTACACAGCTTGCTCGGTGCTGTGGAAACCCGTTCCGAGGAGCCACAGGGCCGGTTGCGGGAGCCGAACAACTCCTTGCTGCTGTTGATGGAGCACGCTATCCTAGCTCCTCGTCATGGTTTGGGGCTGGGACGATTGCGTCCAGACATGTCCTGATTGGCCGCCTGCGTCGAGTCACTGATACGTGGCTGTCCTCATGCATATGGATGTATGGTGGCTTGCAATCCTTTTGCTGCTCTTGTGCCTTGCTTGGGTGCACGCTGCTTGACGGTCAGGTGCTGCGGGCGTCCGGTCCCCTCCACCTAACATTATACTGGCAGCCAGAGCACTGGGCTGGTATCGCTGCTTGTTCGTGGCCAGAAACTCGACGTCATGAGCACCTAGGTACTGGCCTGCACATTATTATGGTCATTTGGCATGACTCAGTGCCTATTCCTCTAATAAAATTACTGCGCTATGACGACAACTTAGAGGCTGTTTATGACACCTCATGATTATAACTACTCCAAAAACCGACTTTTTCTTCCACCGAGCGCTCTTGACCTGCTGTGGCATGCTAATTTGCAGTCGCTGTGATGACCCTGGTCTCCCGGGTTTTCTCTTCCACCTGTTCCAGACTGCTCCCTACTGCAGGGCGAACCTCCGCCTCCCAACGCGTTCTTCGCGCTCGCTGATGTCGCTACCTGTTTGCTTGTTTTTGCTTGCTGTCCTCTGGCCGTGACGACAATGGTCCATGGGGGTTCCTGACCCCAAACATCTCCCGCTAGTTGGGAGACGGATGGATCTGTTCTGAGCCATGAAACGCATCCCTGTGTGTCGATGATGTCGCTACCTGTTTGCTCGCTTTTGCTGTCCTCTGGCCGTGACGACAATGGTCCATGGGGGTTCCTGACCCCAAACATCTCCCGCTAGCTGGGAGACGGATCGATCTGTTCTGAGCCATGAAACGCATCCCTGTGTGTCCATGATGTCGCTACCTGTTTGCTTGCTTTTGCTGTCCTCTGGCCGTGACGACAATGGTCCATGGGGGTTCCTGACCCCAAACATCTCCCGCTAGCTGGGAGACGGATCGATCTGTTCTGAGCCATGAAACGCATCCCTGTGTGTCCATGATGTCGCTACCTGTTTGCTTGCTTTTGCTGTCCTCTGGCCGTGACGACAATGGTCCATGGGGGTTCCTGACCCCAAACATCTCCCGCTAGATGGGAGACGGATGGATCTGTTCTGAGCCATGAAACGCATCCCTGTGTGTCGATGATGTCGCTACCTGTTTGCTTTCTTTTGCTGTCCTCTGGCCGTGATGTTTGGCCTCGTCTGACGGCATCGCTGCAGCTGCCCCAGAAGGCCCCATGGTCCCTGAGGCCTCATTCACACCTGGCTGTTGCTGTTGCCGCTTCTGCTGCTGCTGTTTCTGCTGCTGTAGCTGATGGTGATGCTGAAGCTGCTTTTGCAATTGCTGTAGTTGCTGCTGCTGCTGCTGCGGCGGCGGCGGCGCTTCAGTGGCATGACGTCCTGGATCCAGACGGCACATGGGTCCGACGGGTGCCGCCGGCCGCATGTCGCCCCCGTTCACTGCCATTGTACCGACAATGGTAGATCCGGGTGGGGGCCCGGCAGCGGCCGTGGCTGCAGTGCAATCCGGCACGGAGCTGTAGCAGGTAAACTGCGCTGCTGAGCTGTCACGTACGTCCACAGTCGTACGGGCAAATGGTCGCGAAGCACTGCCGCCATCGAGCATGAGTCCTGATTGGGACACCAGCGGCGGCGGCGACGTTTCCCCGTGACGGTAGGACAAAGGGTGGTACGGCGCGGGGCCAGGGGGATGGCGAGTAGGCCAGGATGATGCGGTTCCCGGGGCCCCAGGCGGCGGCCCCCGGCTGAGATTGCAGCCGGCGGGCATGACGACAGCGGTGGCATCGTAGCCGAACGGCGATGTACTACGACGCCGCGCCGATCCGGTAGCCGCACCGTCTGCGGACGCAGGGTTGCCGACGTTGCCGTCACCGCCGTCGCCGTCGCCGCCGGCGCACCGCTCGACGTTACCGCTGGCATCGACCGGTGCTGCGGCGGCATGGGTGGGTGCAGCTGCAACGGCGGAACCCGACTCACTGCTCGCCGTCGCCTCCTGTGCGCAGTGGACGACGTCACCGCCTTGCCGCTGCTGGAAGTGCTGGTACACTTGGAAGTGGGTTGGTTGCTGTAGGCGCGCCGGCGGAGATGGGAGAGGCGGCGGCGGCGGCGGCAGCCGAGACAACGGCCTCGTCTGTGCGCCGGCTGGCGGCGCGGAATTCCGCCAAGCGAGAGGTCGCTGTACTGGGGCTGACCACCCCTCTCCGCCGCCGTACATGTACGGGTGCTGCCGCGTCCCGTACGGGTACTCATGTCCATACCCTTGACCATCGTAGCCATAATTGCCGTCGTACTTGCATCCGTACGGCCCATTGTATGCGTACAGATGGTGATAGCGGTACGGCGGGTACGGTGGGCCCGCTATCGGGTACGGACATGGGTACCGGTACGGAAAGGGGTACGATGCCCACGCGACACGTGGGACGGTCTGCAACCCCTGCAGGCTGCTGCTCCCGGTGCTCCCGGTTCGCAGCAAATGACCCTCGCCACCAGTGACGCCACCGCCCTCGGCTATACGCCTGGACGGCGACGGCCGCATAGGGCAGAGGTGGGGATGCGGCGCGTGGCTGAAGTCGCAGCACCAGCTGCAGTACTGCGGGCAGTAGCCAGTGGCAACAGCGGAAGAGGCGCTACAGCCTGCGCTGGGAAAACTGGCGGCGGCTCCGGCAGGTAAAGCTACTGCTGCCGCCGCCGCCGACGGGAGTTGCTGCAAGTACGGAGCCCCAAACGGGTCTCTGTCGTCGCCGCCGTCAGGTTTCGCGTTCGGGCTATTACCAGGGTCATCAGCAGCGGCAGCGGCGGCAGTAGCGCCATCAGGGGCGGGTTCTGGCTCTACCGGCCAGCCGCCAGCTTGGGTATGCTGGCGGCCCGTGGCCCACAAAGTTTTCACCCAGCTGCTACTGCCGCTGCCGCCGCCACCGCTGCCACCGCGTCCAGTCGCGGCCTGGCAGGGATCACGAATGGCGAAACTTAAGCTATGGCTGTAGCAGTCCCATCCAGACGCGTTGCCTATACAAGGCTCGCGAAGCTGTACCTGATGGTGGTGGTGATGGCGAGGATGGTAGTACGTTTGGCCGTACGGATGTGGGTGCGGGTACCGCGCTGTGTACAGCGGGGGTGTAGCATAGAGAGGATAGGCGCCGCCGGCCGCCTCGGGGGCCGCCGGGGCTCCGTGAGGGCCGCAGGGATGTAGGGCTTCAGAGCCGGCTTGCCGTACTAAATCCCGGCCCACGTCCAGGGCGGAACCAAACGAGCTGCTCAGGAAACGGTCAGGTGCCGTGAGGATCCGATGCGGCTCCACACGCTGCAAGTCAGGGTGCGGAGGCAGCAGCTGCTCCGCCGCCGCCGCCGCCGCGCCGGCAGAAAACGCAGTGACGGCTGCTGGCGGCACTGGCGCGGTGGGCCCAACGGCACCGCCGGGGGTGAGTGCGGTGGCGGCGGCGACGGCGGCGGAAGGCATTTGCTGCTCTTCATTNGCCATCGCTCGGGCACTAG